TTTAGATCAGTTTTATACGCAGTTGCTGTTGTTATTGTTTTGTAAAAAAGGGGGCTGTTCACCTCTTTATGACAGGTGATGCATAAGTTCTTTTCCAGACCTTCATTACTTTATTAGTGCCCTATTGTTCTGCTTTGGCGCCAAGCGGGTTCCAGAGGGCTCAGTGCAGAAACGGACAGTGTTTCTATACCAGCGCAGGTGATTGAAACGCCTAGCTCTAAATATCATGCTGGGTAAAAAAAAAAACTCCACAGTCTGCCCCTTTCTCACATAGGAGTGATAGCGCCTACGTGCCAGCCTTGTGCTGAGCCAGGCTGGAAGCCGTAGGCATTTAGCCTCAGCTCACACCCTGCAATGGATCCTGGCCTGCCTGCCTTGACATTATTTACAAGGAACTTTTGACTCCTGGCGCTGGTAGGGGAGGGGGGAGGTGGGTGGGTGGCGGAGACTTTTGATTGCTGCTGATGCAGCTAAAGCCTGTTCTGGCTCTCTGTATTTTAGGGAGACTGGTGGTGGTGGTGGGGGGGTTTATGAGGGGTTTTGTTTTGTGTCGGGTGGCTGGGGAGTGGGGGTGGTAGCGGCGATGCGTTGGCTCGCCCCTGTGCAGTGAGAGCGCTTTCTCCGGGGCCCGAATTCTTTGCCCGAGATGCAGGAGTGGTTAACTCGGCTACAGAGCGTGTCATGTCTCCCGAATGCAGGGGGGGATTCTAATGCAAATCAATATGGAAATGCCGTGGAATCCTGTACCGCGCTCTCTCCAGGGTTCCAGGTATACATGGATCACAGCCCTCCTCCTGCTTGCTCTCGGCCAGGCGTGGATGCGCTGTAATGCTCGCGCGGGCTGACAAATGGCGAGGCGCTTTAAACCGGGGAGATTCATGTGTGGCGTTAATCGCCGGGATTGCAGCTGAGGAGGCAGTTTCGAAACCCGAAAAGTTCAGGCGCGGGTGGAGATGGGAAGGCACAGGCTGATTTATTGAAGCGCTAGCGCCATTGCAAGTGAATTAAATGAGCTAATCCAGTGCCTTGTGTGGTGGTTAATGTTTATTAAACAGGGGCAGCTAAGTGTAAAATTTCTTATATATCTAACCACTTGGGTTCAGACAGAAGCCCACAGGAAAGCCTGGCTTTCACTTCCCCTGCAGACCCAGGTACTCGAGTTCAGGCTAGCAGTCACGGTTGCTGAATACTGTTTCTAGCCCATCCCCTGGAACTGAGTGCATGATTTGCAGGACTGTAATTATCCCCCCCCCCCCCCCCCCCTTTTTGAAGCGCTGTCCAGTTGCATAATCCCTAGGTTGGTACCACCTGAATCAAGAACTAGGAACAGAGGGGCCGACCACATCACAGCTCCTGCTCGTTGCTGTTGTGAATGAAGCAGGAGCTGGGCTGTGTTGAGAGCCGTAGAGACACTGTCAGCAGCACTGCGCCGCCTGCTTTGCCAAGGACTGCGTATCAGGAGTCCAAGATCGCATCCGGTGACCTTGCACAGCAGGCGTGCATTCTCTCAGGCTTATAATTTGAGGCTGCTCAATGGTATAGGAGTACTTCGCTTTGCACTGCAGTATTGTTCTAGAATACGTTTTGCTTTCTTTGGCACCAGCAGGTGGGATGGGTTTTGGTGTGCGGTTTTATGCCGGAGGTTCTCATCCCAGAGTGTCCCAGAATTGCCTTTCCTGTAGGAGACCCACTACACCCAGCGCAGAAGCATGGCCCCCATCTGGCAGGAATTGCACACCTGCAGCCCCATTGCACAGCAGATCAGGTGGAGAAGTGAGCAATTGCTTCATCAGCTGAATTAAGGGGGGACTTTAGGTCCTGTAGATCCAACTGTACAAGCCCAGAGTGGAATTTAGCCAGGACATCGGGGACAATGACCCTGCTGTTATGAAAGGTAACATGGGATCTCTAATAACCTGGTAGTCGGGACCTAAGTTGCCATACTGGGACGTTATTTTGGAAATTCTGTTTGAGGTTCATTTGTTCATGTTGTCAGATTGTACACTTCCTGCGATATGATATTCTCATGTATATTTTGTTTTGTTCCTGCGTATCCTTTCATTTTTGTTTATGATTAAAAGATTATGTATGATTATTATTTTCTTCAAGAGGGGGAGTGTTGAGGATAATTCTGTGTGTGTTCACTAGAACGTGTGTAATTTGTAAGTCATATCACTTTATGTAAATTAGCATTATTGACTGGCATGTGCGGGTGAGCGCCACTTTGTAGAAGAAATGTCCAATTCGGTTGACTTGCAGTAGTGTTGAGTCAAGCTACTTTCCCCGTCGCAGAACCAAATAAAAAATGTTACCCTGTCTTTAGGCTTCCTCATAGCAGGCAGGAGCTACTAGCCGACGCCGTCTGCTAGGGCAAATAAAACTGCTTCCTGAAGTGCTGTGTCACATTAGTTTGAAAACTGTTTGAGGGGCGAGAGCCTGCAACAGCAACAGTCTGCTTTTTCCTTTGAGGTCCCTCATCCCGGTACTGACCGGGTCCAGCCTTGCTTGCTTGACCTTCTGCTGAGGTTTAAGAGGGTGGTGACACTGATGATTATAAGTGGTGATGGACCAGCCATCAGCGGCAGCATTATGAGCCAGTGTTATCCAGGTTTTCTTTGAAGTCTCCATGGTACCCACTGCTTCTGTCCTCCCCAGTCCCAACCAATCAGTGGGCCTAGCAATAACTCTTGTCAGAAGCATTAATCTTACCTTGAGATTAAATAAGTAAAACTGCTTTTTTGGAAAGGCACATTCAGTAGTGCACAGAAGGAGTGTTGAATATTTCCAGCCTTCTCCTTAAATCTAAATAGACCTTAATTCTACGCCACTGGAGAGAAGGACTAAATTGCCTTCTGTATTATAGCATTAAATCATCCATGTGTGGTTATGGTTTGGGACCTGTGAAAGCAAATACAGTACAATTTTGCATAAATTATTTGGATTTAAAAATAAAAAGCCTTCAAAACATAGACAATTTGATTTAGTAACATTGCAACTAGTGCTGTTTGTAGAGGTTTTCAGCAGGAAATCACTCATTTTCTCTGCTGTTGAGTGCGCATCTTCAGACTTCAAATTCTGTAATTTGTAAAAAAAAAACCATATCTTTGTGTTTTTCTTTTCTTTTGTGTTTATTACCCCTCCCTTTTCTCTGCGCTTTGCATGATCCAGATTTTTGTAGCTGTTTACACAGGAACAGAAGCAAATGCACCTACACGCGCTCTGTCTCTCACAGACACGAACTCACACCCACACACACACATGCTCAGCCTTTCTCCCACACACAAAACACACACACACACACTCTCTCTCTCCGAATCTCGAATCTCGCAGGGTCAGGCTGTAAAACCCATAGCTGTGATGAGATTGCAGATCATGGTTGTGCTCTGGTTTAGCAGAAGTGCTGACTTGGGGGAGGGGGGTGGTGATCAGACTGGTTGTGTCAGGATTATATGGAAGCTGCATGGAGGTCTTTTAGGCCCTTCTTGTTCATGCATATTGAAATGATTTATTATATTCCTATGTGTTTCAAATTCCAGTCTCTGGTCTGACGCGGTGGTGATGACACTGTGGCTCCCATGAGACGATCTCTATTGATCAGGAGGGCCATAAAAGCTGGTCGTTCTTGCTTCTCCTTTTTTTTTACTTCTCCCAGTGCATGCCTTTGTTTCAGTGTCTGAAAGTGGGCTGGGTGTTTTATCTAATTCCACCCTCCCTTTACTGCAGTGCTACCTTGGGGCATCTAGTGCATCTCTCTGCTCCCTGCTCTGGGGGCAGATCTGTCTGGCTCAGATGCCACCTTCCTGCTCGGCTCTGCTTGTTGTGTGTCCTCTTTATACCCTTGGATTGTGCATTTTGCAGTGTTTTGCTTGTTTATCTTTTCCTTTCTTTCTCCCAATGTTTAAAAACAAATTGGTAGCTGTTGTTTCACAGGTGATAAATTTTGCCCTCTACTTTCCAGTAGCTCTCACCTGAGCTAACATCTCCACCCCAGCCCCCCCCACCCCCTCCTCGCCAGTGTCTCTGACAGCCTCTCTGTCTGCCTCTTCTGTCCTTTTCCCCACCCAGTCTCCCACTGTCTGGCTCCCTTAATCATTCCCTTCCTCTGTCACCCCCCTCCTCCCTTCTTCCCATATTACTTTGTTCTGAATCTCCTCTCCTCTCCACTGCTGTCTTACTCTCATTCAAGAGTTCTTCCAGGCACTGTCAGCTAAAGCAGCATTACAACTCGACCCATCCCTTCGCCTCCGTTTCAATGACACAGTGTCTGCAGTGAAGCCCCATTACAAGCTGAGTTGCATAGATATTTGTCTAATGCACCAGAGAGAGACAGAGAGAGAGAGAAGTCTGAAGCGTCAGGCGCATTTTTTTTTCGTGCAGCGGGCATAGCAATGAGAGTGTCTGCCAGAGGAAAAAAAAAAAAGATCGATATGAGACGACCCCGTTGATTGGTCCCTCTGCCCAGACGCTCTCTGCAATGGAGCTTCTGATTGGCTGCAGACGCGTACCATGCGCAGCAGCAGCTGCATGTGGAGAAATGCCCTTTCTCTCTTTTTCTTCTTTCTCCCCCCCCCCCCCCCCCCAAACCTCTACAATGGCTGCAGACTCCCGTGAGCCGCCAGCTCTGTACTGCCGCCTGGACCGGGGGCTTTCCTGCTTCTACTTTAGATAACAGGTCTACAGCGTACTCTGCAGCACAGCCAGCCTCATCTGCTCCGAGGACGTGCTACAGGGAGGCTCAAACTGCCGAGAAGCCGACTTCCCTGCCTGCATGCCCGTCTGCTGCTGCTGCTCTCTCTCTCTTTCTCCTGCTTCACTTCATCTTTTTACTTCTCTTGCCTTTCTCTCTCTCTCTCTCGCTCTGTATCTGTAAAATGTTATCTTTCTTTGTGGACCTTTGCCGCCGATCCGTAGTTGCCTGAAACGACCCGACTGCTGCCAGGGCCTGTTTTGATTGATTTTTTTTTTTATTTCTTACACTCTTCGTTGTCTTTCCACAACAGATTGCTGACGGGAAAACAAAAAGGGAAAAATCGGAAGAGAGAAAGTCAGAAGAAAGAAAAAAAAAAAAAGAAGTGCCTTCTCCAAAAACGGCAACAGTCACAACTGCCTGCGCCATACAGCTCTCCCGTCTCTCCTGGCCTCCCAATTTTTAGTACCTTTTTTTTTCCCCCTCTGTGCGTGTGTGTTCAGTTGGAGAATTTGGCCTCGTTTTGCAACCATCTTCTCGGCCAGACAGAGAAGTCATCCCTTCTGCCTCTGGCTTCGTTTCTCCTCCTTCTGCTGAATCCAGAATCCAGCGTTAGAAGACTTTTAAAAAAAAAATCATTCTTACTGGACTGCCTCATCTCTTTTTTTTTGTTGTTGTTGTTGTTGTTGATCATTTTTAAAAATATAAATATATATTTTTTCCTCCCCGATTCTCCTACCGGGAAGGAGAACAAAGTTGTTTTTGGCTGTTATCGTAGCACTCCCTATTCCCAACCCTTAACCACTCCCGACAACCCCCCCTCCACCCCACTCCTCTCCAGCACGCCAGCCCTGCTTTTCTGGGATTTATTTTTGGTTTCGGTGTTTTTGGACCGCGATTCCGCTAAGGGAGTTTTTGTGGGTTAAAGAAAAACCAACTGGAAGACGGTAAAAAAAAAAGATCTAGAGGAGATTCGGAGAGACTCCTGGTCGTCCGGGCCCCAGACAGTCCTCCGGCCAGCCAGTCGGGCACACAGACACGAGGAGGAAGACCGCACTGCTGGGACAGGGAAGCCGGGGGTTTTATTAACCCTCCTTGTTCTTTCCCTCTCTGTCACCAAGGTTATCAAGGTGGGGAGGGGGGGGCCTCGATCCCGGAACCACCCCAGCTCCTCCACGGAGCATGTGGGAGTGACTCCACCGTAACTTTCCCGGGATGCACTTTTTCGAAAGAGCTGGGCTCTGCGTTTTAATCCTCTCGGGAGATTTTATCTGTGACCAGTAGAACTGGGATACAGCACGCATTTCAGAAGAGGAAAAATCTATATATTTTTTTAACCAAAGTGTGAAAATACAGGCAACAGGTCATTTCTTCTGAAAGACTTTGCTGTTTTTTTTTTTTTTTTAACCTGACAGTATTTTTGGCTTTCCTGGCTTGTCGAGAGGGGGGCTCATCGATTCGGTCCCCTCCCTGCTCTTGGGGCAGCGCTTGCCACTGCAGTCCCGTACTATGGCTGTGAATGTAGCCATGGGCCGTGACACAAAATGGCTGACGCTGGAAGTTTGCCGGGAATTTCAGAGGGGCACCTGCTCCCGCTCGGACGCCGAGTGCAAATTCGCCCACCCGTCGCGGAGCTGCCACGTGGAGAACGGGCGAGTCATCGCCTGCTTCGACTCGCTCAAGGTAAGAGGAGCCCGTCTCTGCCCCC